GCAGAGCAGAGAGATTGGAGAGATGCAAGAGAGGGCTGCTGGGGTGATTGCATTGCTCTCGATGTGTAGAAGAGCAAACAGCTTACTCTCTTACAATCACTTTCTCTCCAATCTCTCTGCTTTGGGGGGGGGGGAAGAAAAAGCAAGCAATTTTGGTAGTCAGTCTTTTCTTTGCCTGACCCTCCCCCCAGAGATTTCAAGAGAGTAAGCTGTTTGCTCTTCTACACATCGAAAGCAATGCAATTGGGCCGGCAGTGGGAGAGGGTCAGGCAAAGGAGAGATTGCCTACAGAGGTTGCTTACTTTTTTTCTCCTCGGCCCCCCTCGCATGGCAGAGAGACTGGAGACAAAGGGATTTCAAGAGAGTAAGCTGTCTGTGTAACTCGCCTGTGGCATGATTGCATTGCTTTCGATGTGTACCACACAATAAGCATGCACTGAAGCATTCCAGAGAGCAGGGGAGTGGTTAGCAGGCCAACAAAAACTGAAGGTGTGAAACTGACTAGTCTTGTCTCTTTCCAGCCAGAAAGCACAATCATGGTCATGTGATTTTCCACTTAGCAACCACTTCACTTAGTGGCAGAGTTGCTGGTCCCAGTTAGGGTCGTTAAGCAAGGACTATCTGTATCAACAGATGCCTGTTTGTGGTATTCCTTTTTTTTTTTTGGCTGGTTTATTCAGCTTACAGGACTAACTGGGAACCATGCCTATGAGCACCAGACCAACGCTTCCTGACAAAATCTGCTGCAGTTCTAAAACAGCCTAATGTGCTTGTGCATATTCTTTCCTTGGTTCCTTCTCTTGTTGCTTCTACCATTTATAATAACTCCATACAATGTTTCTAGTCAAATTAATCAGAGAAGAAGGAACAGAAGTTGTACATCACAGTACTTCAACTCTTGCACCTTAACTACCTAGGTAGTTTAGACTAGTGTAAAGAACTGCAGGGTACTAAAGTTGACCAAAGCAAAGGGGAAAAGTGCCCCCTTCTACCAGCTCTGAAAATGGACCTAGGGAAGGAAAGGAAAAAAACAAAACCCTGCCCCAAACGAGCAGGTAATAGTGGAGAGAATATACTATAGCCAGCTGTTCCTAAATGATAAGAATTATGGGTTCAGAGAAGGCAACTCGTACATTATACAGAGAAATTATAGGAGAATGTGAAAAAAGAAAGGATATGTTTTCCCTTTTCTATTCTCGCCATACTACTACCCCCTAATGATATATTAAGGTGCCTTATACTAGCCTGTTCATTTATCTGTGCTGTCTATTCTTACTGATAGCAATTCACAAGAGTGTCAGGCAGCTACATCACCTATTATCTGATCCCTTTAGAGCAGTGATAAGCAACATTTTTTGGGAGACAAAAATATTGTTGCAGCATGGATGTAGCCATTCCATGTACCTTGGCATGATCAAATGTCTTTTTTTCCTAAATTTACAGAGTGGTTAAGGGTTACTTTATTTTTAAAATTGTGTTAAACCTCCTTTTTGTTGGGGGTTCAAATCCAATGGTACTGATTCTTCAGCACCTCATGACTATTGACCACAAGGGGACAATTGAGTCTAGTTAAAGAGTTAAGGATTTCCTGTGTGTACATTCTTTGTTTATCACTGTGCCTGCTCTTGTCTAAGAGATCCTCAGTCTGAGGTCAGTTCCTTCTGCCTTTTTTCCCAGACACATACCACATGGAGAACATGCTCTTTTGACTCTCTCCTGGTAAATATAATTGGCTAGATGCTAGGCTTTCTCTATTCATATAATGTATTTTCTGTAAGTAAATCTCCTTTGTGTTACTGTTATAAAACATGCCTGTTCATTTAACTGATTTCTAAGGCCAACTAATCCTTGCTCAGGTCAGATTCCTACTCCCAGGAATGCTCAAATGCACACACAGAACACTTCAGTTTCCGACTTTTGGGGTTGCCTTACCATTTTTTGTGTTTTCTGCCTCAAAATGGAATAATTTTCAACAATAATAGTTAAAGGCTTCAGGAACCTCAGAAAAGGAATCCGGAGGACCAGATATTATTTTGAGGCTACAGGTTGCCCATCTCAGCTTTAGGGAAGATTGGGAGGCAGGCAGGTGGGTGGATATATTCTTTTTCCCTGCAACTCTACCTCACCCCACAAAACTATTATCAGACTCTTATTTCAGGATGACTAAAAGCTTGAAAAGAACTATTTCTGTTAAGATCTTTTGGCACACACACATGTATGTACATACACACATGTGCACAAGAGTGTATGTGTGTGACAAAGAATGCACACAATCTGAAACTGATTAAACAGAAACTATTCTAATTTACTCCATTCCTGTTCCAAAGAAAATTTACCTATCTTTACTTTTGAAACAGCATATATGAATGTATGAGTTTATATTTTATTGTTTTGTAATTTTAAACAAAATACAATATACTACACAGTTCATTTGTATTAAATTTTTATCCTGCCTTATTTTTGGTCAACTCAAGGAAGTGAGTTTGGGTTTAACCCTTAGAAACAGTCTAGCTGTAATGGTATTTTGAATAATGTAAGGTTAAATTATATTTCTGTAATTATTTTTAAATATTTCATTTAAACTATTTCATTTCAGAAATAGTTCATTTTGTTGCATAGCAAATTTACTTTTGTGCAATCGCTGTTAATGATTAATGTAGTTAAAAATAGTTTTTGTTCAACATGGTATCCCCACAATTACAGTGGGGCAAAAAAGTATTTAGTCAGCCACCAATTGTGCAAGTTCTCTCATATACAGTGGGGCAAAAAAGTATTTAGTCATATACAGTGGGGCAAAAAAGTATTTAGTCATATACAGTGGGGCAAAAAAGTATTTAGTCATATACAGTGGGGCAAAAAAGTATTTAGTCATATACAGTGGGGCAAAAAAGTATTTAGTCATATACAGTGGGGCAAAAAAGTATTTAGTCATATACAGTGGGGCAAAAAAGTATTTAGTCATATACAGTGGGGCAAAAAAGTATTTAGTCATATACAGTGGGGCAAAAAAGTATTTAGTCATATACAGTGGGGCAAAAAAGTATTTAGTCATATACAGTGGGGCAAAAAAGTATTTAGTCATATACAGTGGGGCAAAAAAGTATTTAGTCATATACAGTGGGGCAAAAAAGTATTTAGTCATATACAGTGGGGCAAAAAAGTATTTAGTCATATACAGTGGGGCAAAAAAGTATTTAGTCATATACAGTGGGGCAAAAAAGTATTTAGGGGAGAACTTGCACAATTGGTGGCTGACTAAATACTTTTTTGCCCCACTGTATATGAACTCTGCATAATTATCTCTTGAGTAATAGCATTCCTTCTAATAAGAAATTATGAGTGCTCACTGAAATGGAGACAAAATGGAGTAATTAAGAAAGAAGAGCAAGGTATCAGCTCTTGGAGGAATCTCCAACTTTGCAGAAGTACAAGAAAGCTATGTTTGAACTCCCCCCCCCACCCCACTGAGGAGCATTCCCCACTCTGAAAAAAAAAAAAAAGAAGGAATTGAGTGTCAGGTGGAAAGAGAAATAGGGATGGAGAAATGAACTCTTGGATAGTTATTATTTGGATTAAATCCTAAACAACCATAGTCCTGTTAGAATGTATGGATGCACTGGAACATTTTATTGTATGTCTTGTAATTCATTTCCCTCCCTCCCTCCCTCCCTTTCCAGAATCTGTGTTGTCTAAAAGCAATGAACAAAGTCCTTGCCAAGACATGAAAAAGAACAAGGAAATTAGTATAGCTGAAGCAATATTTACAGTGTTGTCTTATTGCACTTTATCTCCCAAATCTCTTGGTGATGTCCTTCAGAACTACATGGAAAAAGAACACTTATGGGATTTCTTACATAGTATATCAGGTATGTATAATGTGATAAAATATACCTTGCATATTATATATTCAGTTTTCTTGATTTACAGATAAGATGTGTTAAAATACAGACCTTAAATTATTCAATAATACAAGTGTTCTCTTGCCTCCAAGATACTGTAGTAATTATGACAAGGCAGTGTTTAGAATTGAGTTGATACTGCTAAATATTACATTTGTTTTCATCAGTGAAAACAACTTCATATATAAAAACATTAATTCTGCAAGAATTAATGTGGCATTCGGACAGTATCATTATTCCTCTGGGGAACATTTAATTTCTGTCTTAGAGATATTTTGAAATACTACAGAAATTACTTTCTACTCATCTTGATATGTGGTACCCCCTGGCACTTTCAATTTGAACTTCATTTCAGGGATAAACTATATAAGACATTAATCATGCAGTATGTTCTTAAGTGCAGGACTGTTTTTTCACAAATAACTGGCCCAGTGGGATGGATTGGGACACTAGCAGGGGAGAACTTTAACTACTTGTTCTTCTGCAGTCCTCTCAGATTCACCCTGTGTCTGATGTTTACCTTTTCTTATATCAGTGTAAGCCTTTTTCCCCAGTGAGGTAGTATATGCTAGGTTCATATGAATTGGGATTATGGGAGTCAGAGAAGGAAGTCAATCTGTGGTGGTCTGGATCAAATATCAGGTATTTTTACAAATATGTTTTGTATTTTAGAACTTTTCTTTTTTTTGCCAAATACCTTAAGAGAATGATAATAATGATAATGATGATGGACATGATTTTTGTGAATGTTTGTCCACCAAAAATGCTTAACAGTATAATCTAATTGAACCAGTCATAGAAGCATTCTTAAATGGAAAAAAAAAAGAATAGAAGTATTATGGTGGATGCTAGTAGTAATCCTTGTTTAATTATTTTTTTAAAAGTTCTCCTAAGAAGAATAAATGATTAGAGTACAATATTTATGCCATAAAGAAATGTAGTTGGCTTTGGGTTCTATTTATTATAAGAATCTAGCATTAAAAACTAAATGAAACTTTATAAAAATCCTAATATCCAAACTTACTCAATCCAGAGTTTACTTGTTTCACTATCATTAATGTTTTTTCTCTGAAGTTTCTGATTGCAGTGAGTCAGAGCCAGAAGTTATCAAATGCTTGAAATTGACTCTGATTAATTCAGTTAAAGGAATAGTGAAGGAGGTAATCTCCTTGATGCATTCATGGGAAACAACAGAGAAATATGGCACCTATCTGCCTAATAAAACTGTTCCTGAAAATTTGCTGAAAACAGTTCCAAAGGAATGGAATTACATCTATAGAGATATGAAAAGAGAAGAATCTGGGAAATGTAAGTGTGTTTACTTAATCCTGTCAAAATATTAGTTAACCATTTAATGAGAATATGTAAAAATGGAAGAGTTTTTGATAATGAATACTGTGGTAACAACTTTATTGGTTTTTTAAAAAAGTTTACTAATGAAATGGTTGACTTATTCTTTAGAAAGTTAATGGAAAAATACATATAATTATAATAAAAAGGGTACAGTCCCAGATGCAGCAAGGTAAATCAGGTTCAGAGGGGAGGAAGAAAGAGTTCCATACAATTGAATATTGTGCCACTCTTCCTAGAATTCTCTGCTGTAGTTCATCTCCTTCATTTCAGGACTACAGAACTAGATTTACTCTCAGTAAGTTAAGTTGCTCTATCTTATCCTCTACAAGAGTTGATGACAGTTATTAAATGTCAGTAATTCACTTAAATGGGGGAAAACAGAAGGATGCATTAAAAACATTGGGGAAAGAGGCTAAACCATAAGGCACAGTTAAATAAAAACATTTAATATATTTTGGATGTTTATATGGAAAGTGTGTAAATAGTAGGCTAGGCAGAATACAGTAGGAAGTACTTTTTTCTGTATAATCACTGCAGCAAACAGTACTGTATATGCCTCCAAATATAGTATCTCTTGTCTTCATATTGCTATAAGTTACATTAGTTTCCAGACCACCGGAAAAAGTCATGGCAGTGAGATGGGTGGCCGTATACATTTAATAAATAAATAAATAAACTGATGATACTGGCTGTTGTGAATTTGTAGTACTTGCATTACTGTAGAAATGTGGTATGGCCTATTGAAGGTGAAGGGCATTATTTTAATATATGATTTTATATTTTGTATATATGTTTAACATGCATGTAACAGTGCACTCTATCTTATTTATAAAGGATCAACTTGCTTTGTAAAGAGCACAGCGTTTCTTTCCCCCCCCCCCTCTCCTTGTTTTTACCCCTCCTTTCCTCCCCACCAACACACCCCCCCCCCCC